AAGAGTTTAAAGAATAAAATGAAGAGAACTCATCATCTTTCTAAGCAGAGATCTGAATATGTGAGACCCCAGCTGTTGTAACCTTTTTCAGTGAAGGTAAAATTGGTGTTGCAGCAACAAGCTCCAGAATTCTTCAAAAATAAAAGTGAATATTGCCATGGTTTTTTAGATACTAGCCTGCATACACAATGGATCTTGATCAAAGTTTCAAACAAAACGCAAAATTTAACTCTGTGCTTCTTCCAAAACATCTTAAAAAAATATTAAGCACTGATAACAGAACTATTCGGTTCATTGTTGACATTACAAGAAACAAACATGAGAAACTAATTCTCTAGGTAATAACATAATCATTACTTGGCACTGGTTAGTCCTGCCTTAAATGTGGCTGCTGTTAGCAGGTTCTTTATGGTCTTATGTAGGCAGAGATACCACAAACCATGCTCTCACTCTGAGTATTTTCCTACATGGTTCCTTCTGGATTTATTAAAATGATCCATCTCCCCTCTGGCTGTATGTGTGTACCATGGTGATGGTGAGAATCAGCAAAGTATTTTAATTGTATTAGCAGCAAACCTTGTGAGGGATCATTGGCTGAATTACAGTTTTAATTTACAGAATTTCAGCAGAGTTTAATATTTAGAAACACTGAGATAAATTTGCCATCTGCACCACCTGGACTTGCTTGTACTACACGGATGCTGAGTGGCAAAACTGCACATTAAGATATTTTTTAAATAGTCTATGTGAGTACTCAAAGGTCTCAGGCAGACATTAGTACCAATGAAGTAGTCATTGTACTAGTAAAGCACAAATGAGTCCTGCTGCAGAGGACACTGCAGTATGGAATTATGACAGGGTGCAGCATATTAATAAAAGGTTGGAATCTAGAATGTGTACGGTTAAGGAGCAGGGAAGTGCATGAACGGGTTATTACAGACGATCTAGAAACCTCATGTGTGTGTGAATGGAGAAAGCAGTTCGTTTATTGAATCCTAAGCCTTCTTTAAAGAAAATGAGCTAGTAAAACCAATTGTGTTTACTGCTCTTCTTTGAACAGCCTGGAAGTAAAATGGTGGCATCTGCTAAAGCTGCAGTCCCCACTGTGACTGATCAAGCAGCAGCAATGCAGCTAAGTCAGTGTGCAAAGAATCTTGCTACCAGCTTAGCTGAACTACGAACCGCCTCCCAAAAGGTAAATAAATACTAGTTTTAATCAGCTAAAGCAAGATCGCTTGCGTGGTGGCCACAGGCTCACTCTTGCTTGGTCAACCATGTCTCCCTCAAGGCAGTGTTCACTTCTTAGTGTTGCTTAGGGTTTGCTCAGACTCCCAGGAGGCTTCTTTGTCATAGTGGAAAGGGGATGGAGAAGTGGCAAGAAAACTGAAAAGCTTGTGCTACCCTTTCCCTACCAGAAAGACAGGAGGAAGGTATACACAGAGCAGCACATCAAAGCTCTGAGTTGCTGTTATATCTGAAGAAGAGCAGGGAAAGGGGAGCATGTCTGATGCACCTGCCAAACTGGGGAGAACCCAGATACAGCACTGCTGTGGTGAATGTTGTGATTGTGAACTGGAGCTATCATCTCTAAAATTCAGGGAAGGAGAGGCTATCTGTGTTTCACATGCAGATTTCTAAACTATGTACGAGTTTAAAAAAATCGGTGGAAAGTCTGTGCTTTTTTGTGTACACTGAGGCCCAAAACCAGGGTTGTAGCATATAGGTGGCTACACCTGAGCTAATGTTAAAATTTCCAGCTTGGATACTGATGATTGTGGGCTGCCACATCAGAGGGTTCGATGTGACTTTAGTCACAATGCATAGTTAGGTTTTTTGTTAAAAGTTAAGTCCAGACCACACCAGTTATTTTCTCAGTACCTGGACTGTCTAGTGTAAAGCTATGCGTATGCAAGCTAAGTACATCTCATTCCCCTGGTGGCTCTTAACCATGTGTTATTCTATTCACAAGCTAAGGATATTGTGCTGGAGTTTGGAATCCATGATGTCTAACACTTGGAATGCCCACAATGGCCTCTAAAATCATGAGAGCAATAATTTGGGAGGGGGAGATTATATCTGAAGCATTTTACTGTTTCTGAGAGAAGCTTACAGCTGCTAACAGTGATATTGATCTGATTTCTGAATAGGCTCATGAAGCATGTGGCCCAATGGAAATTGATTCTGCTTTGAATACAGTCCAGACACTCAAAAATGAACTGCAAGATGCAAAGATGGCAGCTGTGGATGGACAGTTAAAACCTCTCCCAGGAGAAACTGTAATTGAGCAAGGATGTTCTTCATTTAAAAACAAACTAAGTTAGCTGTTAAAAATTTTAATTAGAGGCAAAACAAGTTGTAAGGCTTTGTATAATGCTGATACTGATAATATTTTGCACTAATTCTCCTAAAAAGAGTATATATTCCTGCTACACCAGAAGCATGTTCTGTAGCAGAATTACTCATAGGATTGTGAAGCCTCCTTCTCTATTGTACAAATTACAATTTAGTAGCAGCAGTATTTTGGTCTTTTCTTGTCAAAAATAATTTCTTTTCAATAGAGACCAAGATGAGAACTCTATAGTTCTAAGACTGCAAGTCCTGGTAGGCTTAGAAAGTGAAATGTTTTATCTGGCAAAAACCTCATTCTCCTCAGATGAAGGTATTGATAGTTTCATTGTTCTTATTACCCAATATGTTAATTTATTTCACTCTGGACAGGGAAAACATGCTAGTCATGTTTCAGAGAAACTGTGTGTGTGTTTGGTAGCTGAGGGTAAAAGCTTGGATTTTGTGGAATGAGGAATTTTTTAGTAATATTTAAAAAACAAGTGTGTTTTACTTTAGCTTAAACAAAGACTTTTGTCCTTTGCAATTTTTCACAGCTTGAGAAATGCACTCAGGACCTGGGAAGTACATCCAAAGCAGTTGGTTCTTCAATGGCCCAGTTGTTAACTTGTGCTGCTCAAGGCAACGAGCACTACACAGGTAGTGTTTTATTCATGATGTCTCTGCAAAACATCTGCTTTCTGTAAAATACTTGATAGAAGGTTTTGTTATCACACACTACTTAAATCAAGGAATTACTATTTTTTTTGTAGTGCTGATAGTGAATTGTGGCAAGTTACTAGAAATTGCCAGTGTGAATAATGTGCTGGTTTACATGTATAATGCAGCTGGTCTCTCTGATTCATTATTCACACTTGCATAGTTTGAATTAAAACAAACAGGGAATGTGGGTGCACAGATTCTGCAATTTGTATTTGTACCTGTACTTTTAGAAACGAAAAACACCTTAATAAGGAAAATGCTCCTTGCAGGAGGGAAAAAAGGTTTACTCTTAGATGGTAAAATGTTCTCTCTTCTTATATTTTGTAAGAAATGACAACTGTTGATGCAAATGCTACCGTAGGATTTTTTTTTAAATATTACTGATGAAAGGCATTATGGCAATTACAACTTCATTGGGTATAGTTGCATCAGAGCTACATAACTTACAGTTGCTTTCATTTGAAGCAGATGTAATTGCACTAAGATGGCTTGTGTTTCTATCACATAGTTGTACAGAAATTAGCACTGGGTATCTGACGAAGGAATACAGATACTTGTAGCTGATACTGAGTAATTGAATCTAGTAGCTCTTTTAACATCAAACTATAAGAGCTGTTTGGTTGGGACATCCTACAAAGCAATGAGTTCCTTTTCAAAACTCATATAACTATTTTCTATCTTATACTGTCTTGTTATGCAAAAACTGTTGTGTGCTCAAGCAAGCACTGAGTGTTTTCAGGTATTATGACATTCTGCTGTTTCTCTGATAAAAATTCTTTACAGCTTATACTTACTATTTAATAATTCCCTCTTGTCTGCAACTATCACAGTAAGTTTCTTTTCACTTTGTACTGAAAGTCGTTGTAGAGGATGAAAGCAGCAACAAACTGAAAGGAAAACAATCAGACCATTTTATTTTGTGGTGCTGTGATAAATTAAGTCAAACTTACTTAGAGTACCAGTAAGTACCTTCTAAAAAAAAAAAAAAAACACCAAACCCAAGTGTGGGTATTTTTCCTGAAATTTTCTTTAAATTAAGAATGTAGAAAGCTGTCTGTGCTTTGTCAAATAGAAAGATTGTAACTGCAATGTGGGCAGTACTGGTTTTCTGCCTAGCTTGGCTTTACTTTGACATATAATATCCCTTGTTTTTCATTATCTTCTGAAGTTTCTGTGTTTAAAAATGTTGAGCTGATTGGAAGAGAGAATGTTAAAAAGCACTGGTGTTAAAATACTAACATGGCTACTTTGTGGGTTGTATTTGGTTGTGATGTACCAGCTTTCTAACCATTTCCCATAGAGATATTAGAACATTCTTAATGCCTAAATATGGGTAACCAAGAGGTCTTGTACAGGAAATGTTAACTTTTTTCTATAGATTTTTTTTGGTAAGAATAGCATGATTTTAACATCACTCAAAATATACCACCTACATTAATTGCATATGTTGTTGACTAGACTATGTGCTAATTAAGGTCTTTTACAAGACTATTTTATATTGGTTTTCATTAAGGGCTGAATTAAATTTCAAAAATAGAAGAATGGGACCATTATTCATACAGTTGTATGCCTTAGCACTAGAGCTGATGAATGTCCTATAACGTTGGCCAGGCAGACCACAGAAACTAATTTTATGACATCCTCTGTGACTTCACTCAGTTATTATTATGTGCTTGTACTCACAGTGATGTTAGGTTATATAAACTTGTATCACTCCTAATGATTTCGTTAATTTTTTTAATTGCTTGAACTTAAGCTATTGCTGTGTTTATTCTCTAAAAAATCCAAAGTTGCATTTTCAGAAGCAGCAGAGATGCTGTGGCTCTGAAGTCATGTACACCACTCTTGCAGATAATCACTTCCCCCATAGCTTGGAGTATGAGGTTTTCCTCATTTCTAGGTTTTAGTTTTTCTTCTTTTTCAGTGCTTCACTAAGATTTAGTCACTGATGTAGAGCTGTGCCTGGAATGTGGTCTTTTGGGTATAATATTTACTTCATGGCTTCACTACAAGCATTTCTCTAGGCAAATGGTGCTGTGTATTTCAAATGTGTTCATGTTTGAAGATTTTCTTTTAAACTGCGTTGGCAGTGTTATTTTTCAATGGGATCATTACCTGCAAATTCATCTGTCATAAAATACAAAGATCATCTTTAAAAGTACTAATAGAATCCTTGATGAAATCTGAACATAGGAGTTGCTGCCAGAGAAACTGCTCAGGCTTTGAAGACCTTGGCTCAGGCAGCACGAGGAGTTGCAGCATCTACTACTGACCCTGTGGCAGCACATGCAATGTTGGATTCAGCAAGGGATGTCATGGAAGGCTCTGCTATGCTTATTCAGGAGGCAAAGCAGGCCCTGGCTGCACCAGGTGATGCAGACAGTCAGCAGAGATTAGCCCAGGTAAGTTGTGGCTTGAGCAGCTACATGAATTATCAAACACCCAGTGAAATTACTTAGAAGACAGCGTTACATAATGAGAGAGAGCAACAGAAAATAAGGCTGCAATGGAATGCGGGAATGTCAGCTTTCCATTCCTTCCATCAGCTATCGGACAGTAACATCATGCTTATGTTAAACAATGCAGATGGTGCGAAGTGTGATATTTTAGTCATCTTTTAGAAAAATAAACTTATACAGAGATGCAGTTAAGGTCTTTTACCCACAACATACTTGAGTAGGCTGCTTGAGTGCAAAAATGAAACAACTGTTAAACTGATTATTATCAAATGAAGGATCTGTATTCATGTTATATTCAGAAAGTGAATGCATGTTTTCTACGCGTGTGGCATCACTGCTTTTGAAGACTTTAAGGAGTAACAGGTTCTTTTTTACTGATTTGAAAAGTTCTGTAATTGGCTCGTATGTTAAATAATTTTTTTACGACAAGACATTTATTTTAATCAGATCTTAGAGAAAAATATAGCATGCAAAGGATTTCTGTGGTTACTGTATGGGTAACTTCAGGGGCATTCCCTCATTTGCAGTGCTGCAGCCTTTATCCCAGGTGCCAGGAGCAGTTGTGAAGCTGCCTTACCAACATTCTTGTATCAAATGTGTGAGCATGAATAATGACTACTGCTAGACTATGAGTGAGCAAACAGAGAAAGCTGCAAGCCTCAAAAATGGTCTTGTTAGAGTCAGAATGTACGAATTGCTGGCTATAGAATGTGCCTTCTATTAGATAAATGACCACTCAAGCCCTTCTTGATATGGATGTGTTTAATTATGTGTAGGTGGCAAAAGCAGTGTCTCACTCCTTGAATAACTGTGTGAATTGTCTGCCTGGACAAAAGGATGTGGATGTGGCCTTGAAGAGTATCGGGGAATCTAGCAAGAAGCTCCTTGTTGATTCGGTGAGATGTCTTTTAACAAAGAAATAAATTTCAGAGAACTGAAAAGCAGATCTGGGTTCCCGATGTGTCAAATTATTATCTAGTAAATGTGCCCTAAGTATACTTCATATCAGTTTTGGTTTAAGTTTATGCAACTTTAAGTAACTGCTATTTTGCCTGAAATGGTGTTCTTGTAGTTTATGGAAAAGGTGAAATGTGTCTGTAGCTTGTGAAGGCAATATTAAAGTTGTTGTCATAGATCACCATTAGATTTTTTTTTTTGAAAATGCCAACCATGACGTAACGTTTTGAAGAATATGAAAATTAGAAAATTAATCCATCTCTCACCTGAGTGATCAGTTCAGTTTAAGGAGCATTGCGGTCAGTCAAAAAAAAAGTTTGGTGCATCTATGGTCGTTTTGTGCAAGGAGAAGAATTGTTATATTTCTGTTTAACTGCATCCGTGTCAAAAAAAACCCTTTGTGCACTGGTAATTTGCCAGAAGGTTATATGATTTGAACAACTTTTTTCTGCATCTGCCAGTGATCCTGCTACCCTGTGAATGAAGGAGGAATTGTATTTTGATATGTTTGTGCAATGCCTTTTGGTAAAACCAAGTCAGAAGTTTAGAGTCATTGTGAAGAGCTGCCAATGCTTGTGTGGTGTTCTGGAAAGCTTGTTTCTGGAAGTGAATGATGACTTGGAGACCAGAATTCTCCAACTTTTGCCACTGAGTTCATCACTTCAGATTTCGTAGTTGAACCATAAAATAGCTATTGTCATCTCTGTCCCTTGAAAGGCTTAAGTACTTGTCTGTCCCTTGAAAGAAAAACCAGGACTAAGATCACTGTGTAGATTTCTGGTTGATGGCTATCCCATAGTTGAACTGTTCTGCATTCGGAACTGAATCACTTGCAGTCCAGTTGCAGTACTGCATTCTAACTTGTATGTGAAGCTCACTACTGTATTGGATTTAGTGTTCTTGAATTGTATTGAACTTTCTAGTCATGAAGGGTTGGTGTGACATGACAGACAATAAAATACAACACTTGGTCTCTTACAGCTGCCTCCAAGTTCTAAGTCATTTCAAGAAGCTCAGAGTGAACTGAACCAGGCAGCAGCAGACCTGAATCAGTCAGCAGGAGAAGTTGTCCATGCTACACGGGGCCAAAGTGGGGAACTGGCTGCAGCCTCTGGAAAATTCAGTGATGATTTTGATGAATTTCTTGATGCTGGTATTGAAATGGCTGGCCAAGCACAAGTAAGTTTTTTATCTTGCTAATTGGGACCAAGGATTAGTTTGGGCATAGCATCTTGCAGTGCAGTATGTTGGTTATCTAGTAGCACAGTACAATGTGCTAGTGTGAGCCTATCCAAATATGACAGGTGATGTTTGTTATGAAGCAGTCATCCATAACTGGTTAACCAGAGTGAAGTCAATTCAGCATTTGCGTTTTATGCAGGATACTGGTATTTGTTCCTGTGCCCAGTCAGAAATACGACTTCGTACTCTTCTGTCTAGTTTGGGCTGTTAACTAATTTGAGCTGTATATCTGAAGGTACAAAGGTGTGCTGAACCTCTTAAAGCTTATGGGAAGGATTGCTTCTATTTTGGTAGAACTACCATGGAGCATAATTTATGTGAACACTGTTCAAAATGTAGTACCTTTCTTTGCTAATTTTCAAATGCTTTAAGTAGAGGGAGGAAAAGACGCATTTAAAATCCAGACTTGATATTTCTCTATGGTGCATGCTGCTGTGGACCTGCTACGGAGTGGAGCAAGCATTTGAAGAGGACTGGCTAAAATGCCATGGATCTAACAGCAAGCACTTTGGAGTTCTGTTCGGTGGTTTAAAATCTGGCTGAGTTCTATTCTGATGAGCTCAGTGACAATCACCAATGTTGTCACGTATTACCTGGCATATCCCTAGTAGTCTAAGTACTCATTTGAAGTTGGAGGTATCGCCTTCACTTTATCTTACTGGGTTTAGGTGTACTGAATAACACTAATTGGTCACTTGGAAATGATTTAGCATAACAAATGTCAGCATATAAAAAAAGTGTCCTGTACCAGGAGAGCTAGGAGGACTTGCAGAAAAAAGAATCTGCAGACTGTTTTGCCCTAGTTAGTAGGAGGAACTTGCAAACCTAAGAAATGATTGCCAAAAGACAACTAGCCAGAATGTCTTGAGTGTGCCAGTCCTTTGAACTCATTTATGAAGCATCTCTATAGAGCAGATGCTTTGTAGATAGAGCCGAGTAGAGAGATCGGATAGTGACTGATCATTATTCTCAATCAAAACTTAATCATTCCAGTTCCAGATCCTTGGTCTCTTAGTTAGGCACCAAACATCACTTGATTCTCTGAAATCGAGTAGGAGTTAGGTACCTGACTATCTTTTTAGCCATGGGCCTCATTGACTTTTAGAATATTTTGTTTGAGGAAGTTCAGTGAAGGCAAGGGTAGATGTGATACTGCAAATAGCTACTTGAAAAGAGAATTCCAGTTGCTGATGACCTTGTGGCCCTTGCGGATTTCCTTATCCTGCTGACACCAGGCATGATAACCATCTTATTTATTAATGGCTGATCTTTCGAAAGAGGATGCCTTCTGTCTGTGTCTAGTTATTTGGCCTGAACAGAAGCAATACCAGGCATTTTGGATGCCCAGCAAAATGTTGGGGTAGGGAGGAAGCAGAATATAAATATAGAGTAAAAGCTATTCACATCAGCTGAGTAATATACAACCTCTTTACATAAAATCCTGAACAGACTGTTAGAAAGAATGGATTCACTTCTACTGATCATTGACAGAAGAATCTAGTTACAACTATTTCCTGAGATAATGCAGTATTTCCCTGTAATTGTATGTATATGCAAGTTTTCCTTTTCAAGTAGTGGCTTAAAATAAGTAATAGAACATTCAAGTCAGAATGTTTACCTAAGTAGTCTTATAGAAACGTGTTTTAGTGGGATAGAGGTCTTTCTGGGGGGGATCTTTTGGTGTGAGTAATCTGAGTTAGATGCTAGAGAGCCTGTGGGTTACAGAGAGGATGCTAGAACACAGAGAGTGTACACTGACTGAATAATGTGGATCAGTTGTGCCAGGCAGAGACACATGAGAGTCTTGACAACAAAAGCGTTGTTCAACAAGTAATAAAGTTTCTTCGTTGCTCATTTGTGAATACTGCCATTGTTAGAAACCAAGCTATTTGTTATAGGGATTTCTTTTTTCTGTTATGTAAGTGAAGCTAGAGGCACCTGTCCAGATGAACAGAGGCTTTGGTCCATGTCCTTCTCTGGAATATGGTCCACTGCATGTCAATGGTTTCAAATGGATAAACAAACTGGGTTTCCAAATGTGTTTTTAGCACACAGTCTTTATTGCAAACTCTGCACTTAATGTTGTGCTGTTGTGGCTTTCCAGACTAAAGAGGACCAGATTCAAGTAATAGGTAACCTCAAGAGCATCTCTATGGCTTCCAGCAAGCTGTTACTAGCTGCCAAGTCTCTGTCTGTTGATCCTGGAGCTCCTAATGCCAAGAACCTCTTAGCAGCAGCAGCAAGGTAAGGATGGTGTTGCTTGCTTTAGGTTTTCCTAAGATATTTGCTTTACTCTCTGATATTTGTAATGTGTTTATATATTTTTCTGCTATTGACAGTTAACTGAGTGGTTGGAACCTGCAGTTCTATTTAAATGAAAGTAGGCCAGAGGAAAACTGCTTATTTTGGAGTAGTTCCTTAACTGGCATAACTTGTTACCCTTGGTGGAAATAAGCAGTTGAAGAGTTGGCCTGGTTTTTGAAAGGGACTAGTGTGTTTTACCTGCTGGTTTTTTACCATCTGTGTTCTGACAAGGCAGTACCTAACAGTAAGCCTCTCAATCTCTAGCAAAGAAAAGAAACTGAATAATGTTCTTATATAGAATGTGCTCAAAAATCATGTTGCGGCTACCTATCACTAGTGGTGTGTATGCATGTATGATGAAGAACACTTGAAAGGTTTAGATGCTATGTTTATTTGGTGGAAGATACCCTTATTTCAAGGATTCTATCAACCATGCCCTGAATTCATCTTGTGGACTCTGTTTCTCAGCCAAGGTGCTCAGTGTTTATGTGAAAAATAACACTGCATTTCAGTATTTGACTGGATAATTGCCTCTCTTTAACTTTGTCAAATCCTTTTCACAATTTTCTTTTTCCTGAATTAATGTTTTAAATTAACTTTTTATTCAGTTATCTAAGTTTGTAAATGGAATGTTCAGATATCAAACTGGAAGGGAACTGCTGAAGGACAGATAGACATCACACCTAGAAATGTCAACAATAAATCAGATGAATGTCTGAGATCATGTGGAGGTGACTTACAATATTGTCTTATAAAATGTTTACATCCACAAAGATGAGCCTAGAGAGGAAGTGAGTAGGTGAAGAATGTTACTTCCTTCGGGGTAATGTAGTTGATGTTTGTCCTGGACCTTGGAATCATCCCTTTCTAATAGCAATAACTATTTTTAAAAAATAAATCCACTCCTTTAATAAAGGACTTCCTTAAGAAGTCATGTTACTTTGCTGTGTCATATTTGTTAAAAAAAAAAATAAAAATATTTGTCTATCTTGTCTCCCCGGAAATAAATAGCTTCTAGGAAAATTGTAGGTAATTTAAGGCACACTGCTTAAGTGAAGGAGTTGCATGGGCTTTTGTTATTGCTGCAGCATCAGACGGCGACAGATTTCTGCTTTAGGCTTTGAGCACTCCTGTTTGGAGTGTAGAGGAAGTTAGCATTCCCAGTGAAGCCCAGTTAGTTGTTAGTTTCTGGCAGGCTGGTATTCCTTCTGTAGAGGCATGTAATAAAAAAAGGGAACAAGCCATGGAGAGCCTTTAGATGTTCTATTTTGCCATGCTGTTAGCATGTGTATGTGTGTCTGGATGCATAAGACTTTACTTAGACATCAGATAACCATGAAAAATAAATGCTGTAAGAGTTCTCAGTTTGTGTTTAAGATGCTAAGGAGACACTGTATTTCCTTTCTCAAATCCTCTGTGGTTGCTTGTGACAAGCTTGCCCGGGC